TAATATTAAAGAACTAGTGACTGAATGATTTAAGGATACATCATTTAGTAATTTGGAAAGAGGCGGCTTCCAGGGAGGCTGTTATGTTCCTTAGTAACAATGATTGTTGGCATGGCAGTTGAGATAAGTTCAACAAGTCATGAAATCTGCTATGGCTGCAGAAAATTTGACCCTGTTTAATGCTGCTGAATTAGGGATATATCTCACTATTTTAAAAGAAATATTACAGATCAGTGAAGACTTGCCTATCATGAAATGGCATGTAGACATTAAACCCTTGTTGAGCCAGTTTACTTGACAAGACTGGTAAGAGATAAGTGGTTTTGGATAGATATATTCATCCTTAGGGATACATTTGAACAAGGAAATATGCATGCAGTGTCCTGGGTCCAGTTGGCTCACCAACTAGCAAACATTTTTGGCCAAGAGGAGAGGTAGCATCTGCAGATATCCTAGTGAAGGCAATTGAAAACCATAAAAAAATTGGGAATGTTGAATAATAAATGTTACCAGAATTATATTCAGGAACTCATGTTAGCAAAAATATGTGTAATGCTGTTATAAGAAAAGCTGACCCACCAACTAATTAGCTTCCAGGTTAATAAAAAAAATCTTCTTGATATTCAATTGGGTTGGAGTGTGATTTGGTAAATCTATGCGAATGAACCTTAACACTTACTATCAGTACCCACTTACAAATTGAAATTGAACTGATATTCAGTTGAATGCAAGTTAATTTGTTGTTTTTTTACTGTCAATACATTTGTTTCCATATCAGAATTGTCATAATCAGTTTAAGTAGACATCTTTTAAGCAACTTGATTAGGAATTCTTGCTAATTTTAATAACAAAAACAACTACTTATAAAATTACATAAATTTAATTAAAACATTAGATGTTTTTGTATATTTTATGCCATCTAATAAATCTCCTCCCTCAGTGCATAAATATATCATCTAATTGCAATTGTTTGTTAAACTCATCTTGATCATTTACTGCAAGAATTTGCTATGTTCCCCTTGGTAAATACTTTGGTTGTGTTTCCCAAAGTAAATACTCTTTGAAACCTTGTAGCTTTTAAATATTATTACAACATTGAAATGTTGTTTGTCTCTGTTATGATAGGTATTCTCTCTGACAGATGTAGTCTCATCAAGAGAAGATAACTGTCTTGTTGGTATGGCAATAATACCTTTTATACAGTACCTAATTTACATATCACTATAGTCTCAGATGTACTTTTTGGGCAATCCTTTAACTGCATTGCTTCATTTGGAAATGGATAAGGTTTTCTATGTGTATATATGTTTCTCAGTGGATTAAAATAATTTATTATTGACAGAGAAATCGAAAGAGCATACCAACAAAGTGACACTAGGGTACAAATATGCAAAGCCCAGTTTTTTTTGTTATGTCACCCAGCCTAATAAGGGTTTTGCCAAGCTTATGCAGCAGAGCCAAATGTGTGTAATAGTGACAGGTTTGGATAAAAGCAGTGCCTTACCTTGCAGGTGGGACCTGTTTTAGAAATCCTTTCAATTTGGGTAACCCAGTCTGCTTAGATAATCTCTAGTTGAGTGTTCCCAAATATCTAATTGTTACTTGCAGGCAAAGAACTCTTTTGATATCTGGCTGTATTGCTCTCCTGTTATTTCCACAAACAAAGATTCACAGTGAATCATTCCCTAGGGGAAATGCCAACTGACAAGGATAGCTCAGCTACTGAATCAGCTAATTAATTGAGTCCATCTTAATTCACCAAGACAAAACATGAACATGTTAACACTTTCAATCAAGCCAAGAGTGCGATGCCTTCCTTTCATGAAACTTTGTCTGCTTTTAATATATATTAGACTACCTGTGACCCGTTGGGTCACTGACTTCTTTGGTTATAAAAGAGTGAAGTTGATTTCAACGTTCCATTGAAATGAAAGTTAATTTTATTATGATTCAGTTAAATATTTACATTCATTCATGTCATCATTAGTCTGGTTTACAATTTCATGTTTAACATTTTACTGATTGTTTACATCATTTAATAGGAATAGAACTTCCGGGATAAACTTGAACTTTAAATCAGATTAACTGGAAAATATTTTTTAAATATCCTCAAAATTATTTTTTAAATATTTAAAATATTTTTTGTTTAAAGAAAGGTGAAATATAAATAATTACTCTACAAACAACTGGACAAAACAGTAAAGCAAAAAATAAAAATTGTCTGTTTGAAGAAAGTTAGAATAAAAATGCTTACTGTATAAACAACTTGTATTTTTAAATCTTATTCACTTAAATTATTATATGCTGGATGGCCACACCACACAAACATGCAGACACGTATACACACACTCAGACTTTTAGTATTATATAGATATATACAGGGTGCGAAGGGTAAATTGTCACCATTTTATGTTTTTTATTTTGTGCATGCGCATTGTTTGTTTTTGATTTTGTTGACTGCACAGTATAGTAGGGTCAGTTGAGCACTGTCTGAGAAAAAGAATACCATGACACAATTTAATCCACCAGAAATTTGGAAATAGCATGCTGTTCTGCTTGGCATTCACACCAGAAGCTCCAATACAAACAATTCAGAGTGTTTGGGTGTCAATCTGAGGACTGTGCAGAGGATTCAGAAAGAGTTGGATTAGTATAATGATTATTACAAAGGTGTTTAGAGTGACCACTAGTGATGGTGACATTATGCCTCCATTCATCTTCCCATAGACTCAACATGGATGCCTACATCAAGTACCTTGAGGAGGTAGAGCTACCCTGAGTCAAGAGGGTGGTTGCTGGAAGGCCCTATGTCTGGCAACAGGACTCTGCACCATGCTGCACAAACTGGAAGACCCAGTCATGGCTGTCAGACAATTTCTGTGACCACATCACTCCTTACATACAGTGACCTAACTCCCCAGAATGCAACCCCCTTGATTATATGTGGAGGGCGCAGTTGAGTGAGAGACCAATATAGCTCCTTGTAACACCAAAGATGAACTGAAGGCAAGCATAATGGCAGCATTCAACAACTTAAACAAGGAGAACATCCAGAAGAGTTGCAGATTTCGAAGTTGTCTGGAGGCCATGGTTGAAGTCAATGGCAATTCTATTGAATAAATTTACTCTTTAGTATTTCAAGATATTTTGGTGTAATTTTGGTAAATATATTTGTTAAAATGATAGATACACACACAGGACTCTCCCATTGTTTTTGACATATGAGGTCCAAGCAGCTCAGTTCTTAGAACCAACATCCAGACTACCCACACATATCATTTGATTTTAGTGGTGAAGGCTTATGCAGTATCAACCACACATTTTGAAAGTGCTGAATACAGAGATTTAGTATATAGTATGCCACAAGGTCCCCAATCAACCCTCCACAGGTTTTGAATTCAGAGTTCTCCTTCTCTTAGTCTATTCATCATTCAGTGTTATAGTACCCAGTCAGTCCTATTTATCCATAGTTGGGGGAGAAGAGATGGATTCATGCATTTCCCAAAGGTATTAGCACATAAGTGAATGTAACAAAGTTGACTGGAATCTGAGCTCTGCTCTCTGATTCTTCAATCTGAGTTGCTGTCCATTACTCCCTAGTCATCATCATCATCATCATGAATTGGCTTTGCAAAATGAAGATCACAAGGGAGTCTGTACATGTCGCTTGCAGACACATTTGTGTCTAAGTCCAATGTGAGACAGGCATACTCGGTCGCAGTAGTTGCAGCTATAAGTCTGGCCTGGGCTTCATGGAGTAGCACTGCAGTACTTTCTCCTTTGCCTCTTGTCCCTGCAGATATTTTGGAGACAGAATTTTAGGCAAGCAATGATTCTGCATTCTGGAAACATATCTGGCCCAATGCAACTGTGACTTCAGCAGCATGGCCTTAATGCTGGTGACCTTCGCTATATATATATATATATATATATACACACACATTTTCAAGACACATTGAAATGTTGGTCTCTACCAATAAGAACTATCTATTTTTAATGGTATTTCCAAACCTGTGTGATAGTGATATATAATACAATGTGTTTTGTAATGTATTTTTATTATATAGTATGTTGGGGGTTAACATTTAGCTTAGTCCCTACATCTGATCAAAAACAAAATCATAGTGCCCATGAGAAATTACCATCAACATCTTTTACAGTCATTTATTTCCAGAAAATTTCAATTTTTCCATTTTTTGCAAAACAAGCCACCACAACTAGACAACAGTGCTATAACAATTCAGCAGTAAAGTATTAATGAAACACCAAGAGCAATTCTTTAAATAAAATTACTCCAAATAAAAGAAAATCTGTTTTCATTTAATAGTAAGGCTTATCCGCTCTTATGATGACAGCAATATTCCAAAAGATATCCACACTATATATATATGTACCAATGAGACATTGTTGACTATTATGAATATTTACCTATTGCTTGCATCTTAATTTTAGTTACTTTTTATTACGACTTTTAGATGTCATTTCAGATTGTCTCATAAGAGATTTATTCTTTATTCAGATGTTGCTTACCAATATGGAATGAGTCTGAGAGTTTCAAAAGGCAACTCAAGATTAAATAGATACTAATCAAAAATTAGTAATCAGTTTTTTATGGTTTGATTACAATTGCAACTAATCTCACCTGTTCCGCACAAATTGTCTAATAGTTTTTGAAAGAAAGCTTTTGCCTATAAGCTGCAGGTTTTGTTTATTTCTAAATTTTTCTTTTCATTTGTGTTCATCTGTTAATATGTTTGATGTTCTATTGCAGTTCCTTAGATTTGTTGCTTGGTTGAAGTCCTTACTGATTATCATAGGAGGAGGGGCTTATGAATAATGGCTTTTCTTTTGAAAACCTCATTTTTCTACCTGAGAAGAATATGAATTATTATTTAAGTCTGTTTTAGCTTCTCTTCTTTTTTTTTTTTACTCTCTAAGAAAAAAAGGTTGATCAAATTTTTATAAAAATTGAAAATTATTTTCTGTTTGTTTTTTGTCAGCTGATGACTTTCCCTGCTGTCCATCGATGGACATCAGAAATCCAGGAAGGCATTTACAACATGTTACAGTTGTTGATAGACTTGGTTGTTGCCAGATTGCAACACTTACCTGTTCCCATTAAATTGCTGGATGTACTCAGCATGGTAAGTTGAACTCTGAGTGATTTCTCAGAAATGCTTGGATGCATTTCATATTCAATAACTGGATTAATCTTTGTCTTTAGAAATCAACAATTAGTTGGGCATTAAAGATTAATATAATGATGTTTACCTGTGTTAATATCTGGTGACTTTAATCCCAACTGTTTGAAGAAATTTCTACAAGTTTTTAACTGAGCAAATTTGTCCATGAGATTCATTGAAAACAAATGAATAAGAGAAACCTTAAAAAGACATGATTGTAATTGTTGATATTTTTAATAATTATTGGCATCATTGTTATGCAATGAAAAAGACCAAAGTTTTTCCTTAACAATCCTCTTTATTTTGTAATCATTTTATGAAAAGAAACATTATTTTTTTTGTTCTTTCAAGAAGTGTTTATCTTTAAATTTTGTTTTCTTTTACAGGCTTTTGATCAAGATGCTGAATTTCATTTTAAGAATCGAGCACGACAATGTGACAAGTCTTACTGGAAAGAGAAATTTGGAACTGGAGAACTTTATGCAATCAGTAGTTCTGGGACTGGCAAGAATGTATGTGTATTTTCAAGGAATCTGTCTCTATCTTGATTTGCTGTTTTCTTACCGCAACCAATATTGTTGATTAGTTTTTGAAATAGTAATTTTTTTTTCTTTTTTCTTTTTTGTGTGACTTTGTCATAAGCTGATTTTTTTTTTTTTTCATTTTTCTTCAGATGATTTTTTTTTATCTATCTTTCTTTCACCTTTTTCTTCAATCTTCAAATATTAAGGTGCATAACACATGTACACATCAAGTGCTTCAGACTAGCTGCAATCTTCAGTTGAGCACTGTGCTTCAGCAAAGTTTCAGCCTATTAAGCTCAGTACCTTTCCACACGGTGGGCCCACAACAGCTGGATGATATTACGTTGCAAGCGGTCTATGTTAGTTGGATGCAACTCAATAAGAATTTTTGGGTAATCCATACACTGCCTTCCACTGCTTTTTCACCACAAGTCTTTATCACCTTATCCGGCTTTTGGATACCAGCACACTTAAGGAATCTCTTTAAGGAGGCAGCAGGAAATCCTCTACAGCCAACCTCAAATGGCACCAAGGTGCAGCCATATCCTCTCTCACGGACTTCAGCCACAAGTTCCTCATACCGAAGCAACTTTCTTTCATGAGCCTCTTCAATCCCTTCTTCCCATGCCACTGTCAGTTCACCAAGCAACAAATGTTGCTTCTTGATATCAATTAAGACCAGATCTAGTCTCAGACCAGACCCAATAACCTCCACTGGCAGTGTAGCATCAACCAACACTCTCCACTTCCATGATTCCTCTGATATATTGTGTAGTTTATAAATGATGTATTTATACATACATATCTTTTTTTTTTATTATTATTATTATTATTCCCCCAAGCAAGGTGATATTGTCACTTATATGCAAGGGTTTACTGAGAATAAAAGAAAATGTGAAAACATTAGTGAGGAGAAAGGACAATAAAAGAGCAGGATTCAAGGAGACAAAAGATAACAATTGACATTGTATTTGAATTTATGACGATCATAGTTGACAGGAAAATAAGAAGTTGGAAGAGAATTCCACAGGCTGGAAATGTGAGAGAGGAAACTACTAGAATAGAATTTATGGTTTCACCCAAGCTATTTCAACAGTAAAATGATGGGACCTAATTGCCAATTTAGTACTACATTTAAATTCATGAGGTTGATGTACCAAAGAAGAAAATTCAATAGAACAATTGCCATGAAAATATTTATAGAAAAGACTAGCAGTAGAGCCCGGCGTTGCCCGGAGATGTAACAGTAAGAGATAGATCAAGTATCAACCATCATAAAGACTGAAAAATAAAATTGACAAAGATTATTGTTTAAGGTTGACGGACACGCATGTCTTAATTAGTTTTATTTTTTTTTTATTTTTTTTTTTTTTTTACGAATTGGTCAAACTCAAACAAAAACATTGTTTTCAATCGTTATGAGTCTACCAATTGAATAGAATTTTATTATAAACACTTGTCTTGTAAATGGAATTTTTAAAGCATTCTGAATGTAAAAATAAAGAAAAAAGTGTGCAAGACGATAAGAAGCACTACCTGCCAAAAAAAAAAGTGAAGTTTTGTTGAAATCGGTTGAAAAATGTAGGAAATCCTATCCCATATATAAACGAACACAGACGCACACAAACAACCTGGGTTTTATAATAAGTATAACTCGATATGAGTTGTCTCCTTTTCATTCTTGTGATAGCGATGCCTCTTATCATGTTTTCAAATTGATTTCGTGCAAAAACAATTGTTTTTCCAATTTTGGGCGCTGTCAAAACCACCACAAGGTAATTTTACGTAGTCCTGTGAAGTTTTGTTGAAATCAGTTGAAAAATGTAGGAAATCCGATCCAATACATAAACGTACAGACACACACACACACAACCTGGGTTTTATAATAAGTATGATACAGAGAAGCTATGTTACAGTGGTGGGAAATTGACTGAAGTCAAGATGCCAGGTCAGGACTAAATTAGAGAGCTTAAATTTCTTTTAACCAAATATATTTTTCTATTTCTTTATATTTTTTTTCCTTTTATCTTAAAATACAATAACAATAAAATACTGTGTAATGAAATACTGCTGTGCACTTGTCTGTCAATTCTGATTGAATTAGAAAAGCTGAAATAATTTTACAGTCTCAACTTTAAACAGCAGGAACAGTAAATTGAAAACAAACAAATGAGAGAATTTTTGAAAAACATAATTATAACAGTCAGTGTTTTAATTTACTCAAAGGTTTAATGAACAAATATCATTGTAAATGTATACAATGTACTACATGAAATAAAAGAACTTTTCTGAAGAAATGTGTTCATTTTTTGCTGTCTCTACCGGCAGTAGATTATGCACTAAATTTTGGGAAAGTTAACTCCAAAAAAGCTTTATTTTCCTCTGGCTGCTTGTTACACACTCAGTTCAAGGCTGCTGGAGTTGATCTGGGATTGTTGATCTACTCTCTTGATCATATGGTGAAGGTCTATAGTTGGCACTTATGGTCTGGAAATCTTTGATTTAACATTTTCATTATCATTTCATTAGCTTACTTTTCATGCTGGCTTAGGGCATCTTAGAAGAGGATATTGTACACCAACACAAGAATTGGGAAGATTTATTCACAAGCAGATTTAAAGAAAGTTTTTTCCTCAATAAAGTGGGTTTACTCATGCCAGATACCACTCCGGAATTTTTACTCTCATGATACTTTTTTTTTTATATATCGAAGATAAACTTGTTTCATTTTGACTAAGGATACCCATTTACCCCAGGGCTTCTTTATTTTTAATTGAATCACATAAAAGCTTACAGACAATCTAAAAGAATGCAATTTTATTTACATGCAAATTATTGTCCTTTTTTAAGAAAATTTCCAATGATTTTCTGTGAAATGCTGGAAACTTTTCAACTTGAAATAATGAACATGAAATAATTTTTCTTTTGATATTCACAGAATTCTACTAAAGTTCATAAGAAGAAATTGCATCATTGAAAATCATTTAAGATTATCATTAGAGTTTGTAATTTTGCTAGAGAACAGGAAAGGGTTATGTATTGACTATACAGAGAGGAAAAGAGAGAAATGAACAGAAACTATAACTATATAAAATATTTATAAAATACAATACAAACATTCTTTGTAATAAATGACAGAACTTAGTTTTATCTGAAAACAGCAATTCAATCCTGATTCTTTTGCTACATTTAACTAGCTATGATCAGAAATACGTCTTTATACACTGATCAAAAAATATACGGCATATGTTGTAATTTTTCTTGAACTTTAATTTTCGAAATCTTAAATTTTAATAGCAGATTTTAATTTTTTCTAGGATCCTTATGGCTGGCTCACTAACCTCATAAATCGTGTAAGTAAATCCTTTTAATTATTTTTCCATGGAAGATAACAAATTTATTATCAATTAAATTTCTCATTTTAAAGTAGTGTTGCTTGTTTAAAAAACAAAAGTATCTGCCAGAAAGCAATGGTAAATTACTGATGTAAAATTGTCAATTCATGTAAATAATCTTTTGAATGTAAAGAGCGCTTACAATAATTCATGACAGCAGTTATTTGTAGAACTCTGCATTTCTTAGGGGACAAAAATATTAATATTTAAGGATTCTTCAAATATATTTTTTAAATATCAAAATATGTAAAGTTTCCAGATAAATGCCATATAATTTGGAAGATAGAAATAATCTAAGCAAAAGAAAATCAGTTCCTATTGATGATCAAATTCTAATTGAAAGTAAATTTTGTTCTCCAAATAAAATTTTTATTAAAAAAAAAAAAACGTTCATTTTTCTCTGCTTTTATTTAGTTTGCCTACAAACGTGGCTTTGAACACATCAAGAAACATTTGGACCGTGAAGATTTGGATGCACCAGTGAGTAATTGGGAAAATACTCTCACTAAAAAAGAAGTTGTTGATATATACAAAATAGCCTATATTGTTATGTTAAAACCTAGTTGGGTATCTTGGATGGTTTACCAGCTACACTGGTTGTTCATCACAATATACGTTTTTGGAATTTTGCATGAACTGTTTTTCATTTTTGACTCCTTTCTTTGTTGTCTTTGTACATTTTTAGCACTTTTCTTTTATTTATTTTTTAACCAATTATTGTTGAACCATTGAAATAAACAGGAAATTTGGAATCAAAAAAATAATTTCAATCAAGAATCAAACTTGCACAGAATATCTCGAGTGCTTGTTATTTCTTTGAAAAAAAAAACATCAACAAAACTTATAAAAGTTTAAGTTTGAAGTATAAAAAAAAAATGATTATACAAATTGAATTTTGTTGCTGAAAATCCCTCAAAATATTCACATTGTTCTGCTTCAATTGCTCAGAATAAATATCATTTCTTTAGCAAAACAAAAGAATTTATAAGCAATCTTAAAAATATTCTGGATTCAAGCTAAGTTTCTTAATTTTTTAACTGACTTCAAGAGCAAGTTTTTTTGTTGACATCTTCAAATTTATTCACAGCAATCAGTTTTTGAAGTAAAAGATGAAAGTGATTTTGAAAAAGTTAACTTTTTGATATTTAACACTTGATTAATTAGCAAAAAAAATAAATTGATGTATTATTCATATATTAAGCTATTTTTGTAACTTGTTTGATGGCTAAGATAGTGTTATGGTGGAACACACCTATTCTATAGTTAATAGACTCTCCCACCTATAATAATTAGGAGTAGTAAGAGTAACAAGTCAGTCAGTGCCGGACGACAGTTAGTCGAATACTAAAGTATCAGCGACCACAACTAGATTACTCTGTGTTATACCTATTATATCAAGTTCCTAACATCTTGTACATCGAACCTATTTTAGGACCAACTTAGTACAAATACAAGCCTCCACTGTGAAACCACTCCACAACATTATTTGGTGACGAGAAATTCATACTCATACGAAGGAAAAAAAAAAATTCGCTCACCATAACAATTTTTGGCAATGAAATTCGTACTCATACGGAGGAAAAAAAAAATTCGCTCGCCACAATAACGTTGGGTGACAAAGTTCATGCTCGTACGGTGGGAAAAAAAATTCGCTTGCCATAACAATTTTTGGTGACGAAAATTCGTACTCATACAGAGGAAGAAAAAAATTCACTCACCACAATAATTTTCGACGATAAAGTCTTGGATTCACACTTTAAAAAAAAAAAAAAACTTCGCAAAGTTTTTCGCAAGCCAAGACGACAACCTAGTGATGAAAAAATCTGTCATATTCTCAACTGAGAAAAGAAATATTTTTTCTCTCCAATAATACAGTTTGCTAAAATAGGTCATGAATTGCAAATTTGTAGGACCCCCTCCCTCTACAGTATTTAGGCATTGTGTAAACTTTTTGCAAAGATGGAGGAATGCAAAAATATATTCCAGGAATTCTTTAAGTTCCAGTCAGAACAACAGATGACAATATTAGAGCAACAGAAAACATTCCAGATGCAACTACAGGAGGAAACTTTTAATAGACAAATGCAATTCCAACAAAAAATGGAACAGATGCATAGGGAGTTTCAAAACAAAATTCTGGAAATAACTGAGAAGAGGAAAGAGAAAAATCTACAAAATGATTCTTTCCCAGAGAATACAATATGGAATTCAATTAAAATATTCATGTACAGTCCAGATGAAGAGATAACTTTTGAGGAGTATTATAAAAAATATATGGACGTGTATAATGAGGACTGCAACTCGTGGTCTGAAGGAAAGAAGGTTAGGCTTTTTTTAAGCAAATTAGGAACTGCTGAGCATAACAAATTGGTAAACTACATTTTACCGAAAAAAAAAACAAGCAAGTTGACATTTACCGAGGCGGTAAATATATTAAGTGAATTATTTAGTAAAAAGACATCTTTGTTTCACAAGAGGTGGAAATGTTTGAATCTAATGAAAGATGACGAACAAGACTATATAACATATGCAGCCAATGTGAATAAGTATTGTGAATACTTCAAGCTGGCAGAGTTAAGCGCAGACAATTTTAAGTGCTTGGTGTTTGTTCAAGGGCTGGTATCGGAAAGCGACACAGAGTTGAGAAAATTAGTACTGGCTAAATTGGAAAGCGAGCCGAGTGTTTTTCAGATTTATTTTTTAGTTCTCTCTCTCACTCACTCACTCACTCACTCACTCACACACACACACACACACACACACACACACACACACACACAAAGCAGAAAATTTACAATAATCAAAAAAATGTAGGATGGAGTGACAATAGAAAATTATTTCATTTTATTTATGCAGGATTACAGAGTTCAAAAAGTGAGGGATTTATTTATAATAGATATAAATTGTAATCTATTTATTTATAATAAATTTAATATGAATTATAATCTATTTAATACTTATATTAAAGAAAACTGATTGTCTCCACATATAATTTCTTATATTAGATACTTACAAATATTTTTTTCTGTTTGAATTTTTGCATATTTTACAAATATCTACTTGGTACTAATTATTTTGAGAAAGGCATGAATCAACTTTTCCCTCTTTGTCTTCAACAAATATGACAAAATATCTTGTCTCTAACATGCCACAATTGTTGAAGGAGAAAAGAATGGATGAACAAGCACTTGGGGAACCACTCTCCCATAACTACATAAGTATCAAAAAAATAAGTGTCTCTTTGTTCCCCTTGACAGGGGCCAGATGTATTATGAATTATAGTGGAAATGGAGCTTAGATGATACACCACCAAACCTTGATGCTTGTGCATAGGCTCAAGGTAAAAACCTTCAAAATATTTTGGTTTTATTCCCATTTTTCTGCACTGTGTGTAAAGATGTCATTCAATAAATTGAGACTTTTTGTTTTTCAGTTTTCTCTCTCACTCTCTTTTCTTTCAGTCAATGGCTGCTCTGCTGCATCCATTCGGCATCTGTGCTGATTTTTTGAATCCAAATGTCATGTTGGATATTTTGGCCCCAGGATTGAAAAAAGCAATCAAATATGTACAGAGTTTGGAAGAAAAGGATTTTAAAGAAAAAGTTAGTAGCTTTTTTTTATCAACTTTGAAACAGCTTTCCTTGAAATATTAATGACTATTTGTCATTAGCTATATATTCTAGACAATGACTGCCCCAAGCTGTAAGGCTTAGAAACCTGTATAATATTACAAGAAACATGGAATCTCTTCTTTTTTTTTTTCTTTTTTTTTTTTTTTATTAGACTTATTTCAGATTTTCATTAATTCAAAATTGACTGGAATTGACTTTGGGTATGGAAAAAAATATGCACATCCAATCTCCCCTCTCACTTGTAACCATGCACAATAATAAAATAAATGTTTTCAGTGAAAAAGCTGAATTAGTTAAATAAAGCTTCATAAGCTTCTATTCAGAGTTGTTGATATATATTACATTGGGGATTAAGTAAAAGAAATAATATTAATGAAAACAAAAACCTGAGATTCATGGAAGTTATCCTAACAATATTCATGCATATATGATTGCTAATGATTTTCCACCTGAAAAGGATGTTACAGGATTATTAATTGCTAAAATGTGGATATGTTTTGTGGGAGTAGTGTGTGGGGGGTGTAAACCCTGATATCTTTACAAAAAATATACACTTGTTTTCAGACCCAGAAATATGAAAGAAAGAAATATCATTATTTACATGCAAACTGTTGTCCTCAACTTTGTTATTGTTATCACACTTCAGCAGGTGTTTGTTGATCCAGGTAACCTTCAGGGAATTTTGAAATGAACTACTCCCTTAATCTCCAGGGATGGAGGAGAGCAGGGAGGTTGTTCTCCTATGTCTAAAGATATCTCATTTAGTTCTTATTTGGTATTGTAACAAGATACTTGAAAAATCCCCCAAAAGACAGTGCATCACTTGAAAAGAAATATTCAATCTGTTTTAATTGAAGATTCTTTTCTTTAAAACTTACACCTTACACTATTTTTGACTAACATCCAGAATGACCATTTATTCATATCCCGTTGTTGAGTAACAGACCGACAATTTATTTTTACCCTGAGAAAGCTGGTAGAAAAGCATATTATGCATATGCATCCCAATTCTAATGACCTTTACAATAGATTAGCGATTGTTTGTTTTTTTTTTGGGGGGGGGTTAGAAGAATGTTACCATTATTAGCATTTCCTTTTTTCTTTTTTGATATTTCACTTTTCTTGCAACTCAATAAGTTGCCTGGTAGTTGCACAAATTGTAATTATTTTTCTTCTTTTTTCATTCCAAATAACAAAGACAAGCGTCCTTTTGCAATAATAGATTTAACTTCATCTTTTAGAAGTTCTCGCCTCTCTTTTTAGTCTTTATTTCATAACACTGACTTGAAAACTGCTCAGGACCTAAAAATTATATTAATGACCTTGTATAGCATCTCTAATGTCTTGGGATATAGATCTAATTCTTATGAAATTCTTATTTTCTTGGCAGATAAATATATGTAGATATATTTACAAAGTTTAACATTTGAACCTCTTATTTAGTGATTATTTGAATGGCGTTCTCATCTTGGTTGTCATAGTATAATCCTAGTTTTAAAAATATCTTTATAATATCTATTACCAAAAAGTGGTTCCATATGAAGAGTTTCATCTTGATCGAGAGTTGTCCCCCTTGTTATTTTTTTTTTTATGATTCTTGCAATATTTCCTGTCATTTTAACTTGCAAAAACTGAAGAAAACCAATTTAATTTTTTCTTAATTTTGTTTCTGCCAGTCTTAAATGTCTTTGGGATTATTTCAACATGAAAATTAAGGAACACTGATCATTAGCAAAAAAGAAAAAAGTCTTCACTGATATTTGAACCTGGATTGCTTCTTTCAAAAAGATATCAGATATTTCCTAGACATGTCTGCTGTTCCAATGAATGTATTTGTTTTATTTTTCAGTAAGTAAAAGAAATTGTTTGTTGTTTTGCAGAAAGTTGGCAGTGTTTCTGATTTATTGGCTTCTATGAAGCTTCTATGCATGAATATGTGGCCTAAAGATGTGGAAGCTGTGGATGCTTTGCGACTTGATGTTGCCCTCAGAATGTTAAAGTCACCACACTTTAATGCAAAAATGAATTCCCTTAAAGAGGTCAGTATAAATCTATTGTTCTTATTCCTTGCTGATCCTAAGCCTCTGTTCTTTTTATGCTATCAAAACCTTGAGAATATATAATTGGATTTTTAAAAAAAAAACTGCTTCTTTAATATTACTTTTTTGTACTTTATACAATTGCACATCCTCTTTAGCCATTCTGCAATTATATAAAGCAATTACTTTTCAACCTCAGAGGCGATTTTACAGTCAAAATTTTGTATATTTATCAAATAACATACGAGATTTGTCATTGAGAAATGATTTAAACAAAATCAACTTTGACAGAAACTGGATGATTTATAGAACAATTAATATTCCATTAAATTACATTTCTAATTCACTGTCTGTATACTTTATCAAAGTTTTTAATGGTCAGAAATTCTCACTAATTACCAAATTAATTTACCATTGCTGAAGATATGTTTTTTGGAAATTTTGGAATTTATCTTTGGGAAATTTTTTCTCATAATATCAATAACATAAAAAATCTTAACAGTTATGCAAAAAAATTTGTTTGTAATTTTTACTTTTTTTTTTTTTTTCTTACAGGTATCCAAACTGATCGATGATGCTACAGTTAGCAAATTAAAAACTGCCATTCATTCAGAAAGAATTCTGGATTTTCTTGTAGAAAAGCGTGTTTTAGCCATTGCTCTTGAAGGTAACATCATTAAGAGGAAAATCTTTAAATTTATGTATGTACAAGTAACCTGAAAATTTGGTACAAAAGGTTACAAATGTTTTCTCAAATTCTTGAATATTTCATCAACAAGATATAAATTATTAGTTTTGCTACAAAAGAAAAATTTTTTTTTTTCTTCAAGTGTATTTGTCCTTTTTTTTTTTTTTTTTTTTGTTTATAAAGAAATCTCTCTGCTTATTCAATTCAAAAAGCCAGCTGCTTTTATCATGGGAGATTTGGGTTTCTTTCTTGAAAGCTTTTATTCTGTTCACTGCAGCTCAGGATAGTTCATCACCTACTCAAATTTATGTTTTAGAGTTCGTTCTTTTTATTCAGAGTTGCTGGTAGAGATGACTATTTGATGTCTTTTCTGTCCTCATTTTATATGAGTGCAGTATTTATTTCATACATGAGTATCATGGGAGGCTATACATCTCTGAGGATAAAAGCCAAGTACTTTGTGTCTGGGAGTTTGTCATGAAGTTTTAATATTCACTTTTTTGAGGAAGCTTTGTTTTGTTTTAGTTCTTTCATTTTTCAAATTAAATTTTGACCACATCTGAAATTTAATCAGTCCCAAACAAAATCCCAGTCAAAAAAATTAACTAGTTGAAAGCTAAATTAACATTAAAAATATATTTAGATTTTGTGTTAGCTTTTAAGTCTTTCCATAGTTAAAATTTTTTTTTACTTCCATTCACACACACACACAGAGATTAAATTGATATAACAAAAAGGGGAGACTGGGAGGAGATTGAGATACACTAATTTACTTTGAAAATCAGCATTCTAAATCCTGATATTTATCTGGGCTTGAAACACCGATATCCTGGAATGATAAATTTACTTCCTTCTTCCAAACAAAAAACAAAATAAACATCCTTTGTAATTTCAATGAGTTTTTTAATCCTCACTAAGTGTTTATTAAAAGTAGCATAATGCCTACAATCATTTGCTTTTAAGTTTAGGTTGGTTGAGTTTATGATAAATCAGCCCCTGTTGGGTCATTTAATGTCAGTTTTTGTATGGGGAATCTAGTGATGATCAAAATTACTACTCAGCAGTAATGGTCAACAAGACAAGCCTCGTTAACTGAGACACCTTAATTATGAATAAAGATAGTTTTTCTAACAGGTTATATACAGAAATTGTGTCTGCTATAAATTTAACCTGTTAATCACATTGTCATTTCTTAGTAACAAAAGCAGAAATTATTTTGGTTTGAATTTTGATGTTTTTCACTATATTTTGTAGGTAACATTGATCAAGCTCAATATTGTGACAAAGTCAAAGGTATTGTGGATTTCCTTGGCGCCAAGATATCTTCTGATGAACTCAGCATGATTTGGAAAATGCAGGTATAATTATTTTTCTGATTAGTAATCATTTTGGTAGTTCAATAATATTTAATCTGTAAATACTTGAGAATTGAAAGCTCCTAAAATGCCTGAAACCATTTTTAGAATTAAGTGTTATCTTCAGTCTTTACAATAAGTCAAAACCTTTTGTGGATTAAAATATTGACAATTTCAAGAAAACTTGTTTTGATTTACTTGACCATTATGAAGCAGTCTATGTGCCAGAAGCTTCAGTAACAAGTGAGCAAAATGATATACAATTCTTTTATTGGGTTTACCAGGAAGATATTGAATAAATTTAATCTCAAAAAGAAAAAATATCTTTCATTTTTGACTTATTAATCTGAAGACTTTTTCACCATTCAGTCAATGGATAAGAGGATGTCATAATTATTTTATGTCCCAATAAATTTTATTTTTATAAAGAACTCTCACACATTCTTAAGAAATTAAGGTCAAGCAATTTATTTTGTTGCTTGGTAATTGAAGAGATTGATAAAATTGTTAGAGGAATTTGGGAAATATTTTTTCCTTGGTATAAATTTTCTTTTTTAAAATTTGTCTGTAAGCTATTCTACTTGTTACAGAATTGTAGTTTTGCATTTAATGTGTTTTCAGAAACTGCCAAATTTTGTGACTACTAACAGACTATTTTTAATTTGAATGTATAACTGTTATTTACAGTCATGTGATGTCTCTTGTATATGACCCACATACATTTAAATTAGAAATGTAGTGTTCTCAAAATGCTAGGATGAGGCTAATATAAACTTTCTATGACACTGGTAATATTAATGTTCCTGATAATAACTAGAAATGGTTCAAGCAAAAATATTCTGAATTTTGGACAGTTTCTTCATAAATTTGATTTGGATGTGCAACAACTTATACACAAACTGGAAGAATTTAATAAAAAATTAGACAGACTTTGTAGGTTGATTCAAAACTTGTTTGAATGAATGAAAAAATACACGTGTGAAGTAATTTATATAAAATGTATTAGATCTTTATTGTATATTTTCATTATCATGGTGAGTACTTTTATATGATAGTCCTTTATTTCTCCTCAGATGTTAAATCTGTATACATTACACAGGATATCCTCAAAAATATATATCCATATAAAGATAAATTGTACCAGGAATTTTTCAGTTATATTATGTAGAGTATATTTCTTTTCACCAAGATTGAGTACCTCCCCTTTTTCATTGTAGTGAAACAATTGCAAGAGAGATTTAATTGATGTTTGTACCTCAATCTCTTGACAATTTAAACTATGTGTTGTTGCAGAAGGACAACGCTGCGAACATAGAGAATAGAAATTTTAATATCTATGCCAAGTGTGAAGGCAGATGATACATAAACCAGAAATCACAAATATGTAACATTGTTTTATAAGTGTTAAATGCTTTTAATGAAATCAAATTGGCAGCTGATTTAAAAAAAAAAAAAATGACCTACAATCTGTTAATTGGGGCAAGAAATGGCTTGTTAATTTTAATATCTCCAAAACGAAACTGCTCACTTTTAATCATCTTAGAAAGCCTTTTTTGCCTTCCATCAGCATGGTTGATGCTTACCTCCAGGAGGGTGACTCATTGTGCTTTCTTGGGCTAACATTTTCTATTGACATGAAGTGGAAAGATTTTATTGAATCAATTGCTAGGTATGCTGCTAGGAAGGTTGGTTCCCTGTAATGTATTAGACAATTTTTCTTGCCATAATCTATCTTACATCTTTATAAGACTACCATTTGTCCATGCATTGAATATTCCCAATCAAGTTTGATCTTGAAAAATTTAAATGCAATGTCAATCAGTATATTCTTAATTGCTGTTCTTTTATTATTCTCTATCCTTAATGTTTTTCTTTTTCTCACTCTTTCACATTCAATAACCTCCTTGCACTTTAGTAACTTTATTGCCTTGCTTAAGGGGAAATGATTTATAAAAAATTATGGCAAGAATATGGGATTAAATGCTAGTCTTTCTAAACTTTATTCTAATATTCATACTTTCTTAGGAAATAGTTTAAATTTCATATAAGAGCCAAAGCTATTATTAACAAAAAGAGTATATGCAGTTTATCTATTAAATGCCCATTTTTAATAGTTTTTTTATTTTATTTTTTCATGAATACATTGTCATCTTTTGTCTTGTATTAAACTGGCAGTTTTTTTTTTTTTTAGTTTTTTTTAATATTTTATGCTCTTTTAAGTCTTATTAATAAATGATGTATTTTGCTGTATTTTTCAGAATGGCCAGTCCAACAATGTCATTGACAACATTCATTCTATCATTGCTGCTGCTGCTGTGAAATTTGATGCCCAGCAATTAGAACAATTATTTTTTTTGATTCAAAAAGTAAGTCCCTTTCTTTTTTCTTTTTTTTTCCCCCTTCCACTGTCTTTGCTTATAACTAGGAATCATTTTTATCATATTTCATTAAATGCTTTCATTTCATTCACATTAGCCTAGGTTCCTCCATTAGGTCACTTAATAAAGCAGCATATCACATTGAATAAAGGTCCATAAATCAACGGAAACAAAATTTTGTCTCAATATGTTTGTTGTTATGAAGAGGAAAGACCAAAGTATTTTTTAAATATTTTTTTAAATTTTTTACTCCTTTCTAGCACGTAGAAAATTTTGGTTAAAAATTTTGTTTTTTTTATGACAGTGCAAAAAGACTAAAAAAAGGTTTGTTTTATTTTGCGCTTTTCCCGAGGAAAACACACGTTAATTAGGAAATTCTTGCAAAAATCAAATAATTGTCGGATTTTAATGAAACTTTCAGGATTTATTCCGAAATGAATGAAATTATTTTTGAAATTTCTTTTTTTCAGAAAATCTTGTTAAAAAGAGATTTTTTTTTTTAACATGTTTCCACCCACTTACATATTTTCATGAAATTTCAAGAAATTAAATCTTCACGCGCAGGATTTTTTTTATTAGTTATAAACAGGACTCTTTGTAGAAAGTAAATCACCAGTTTTTTTTTTTTTTAAAAGTACATGGTTTCATAAAAAAATCTGCTTTGAATTATAAAAAAAATGTAAAAAAGTATGACATTAATTAATTAGAAAAGCTTTCACCTGTTTTTGTAAATACGTTATACTAAGGACATTATTTTGTGAAGAAATAAAAAATTTTTCGATGAATAATGTATTTTTTACAAATTTTTTTCCCATTTTTTAAATTTTTTTCATTAACTTAATACTTCAAAAATCGTTTAAAATTCTTTATTGCTTTCACACACGAAATGCAATGATACCGTTAAAGAAAAAGTAAATTTACGAATCGAAATTTGAAAAGCACATTGACCCAAAATATTTTTAAAATAATTTTTTTAAAAATTTTTATTGAAAATAACGTTCATAATTTCTACGTATGGAAATGTATACATGACATAATCCTTAAAAAATTTTAAACAATTATCTAATTAATAAAAAACTAAACTATTATCTAATTAAGAAAATATGAAATAAAAAATAGATATTACATAATTGCTGAATAAAAATGTTAATATTTAAAAAGTACTAGTTAAAAACGAAAAACCGCGTTCGCTTACTTTTCAAAAATTGTCAATTTTGATCATCCATAGTAATCTGTCATCACCTCATCACAATCGATTTCTTTGATAAATTCAGACACATCGTTAAGAAATGTTTGGATACAAATTTTTATGCTATAAGTAAGTACTGTCTGTTTCATATCAGATTAATTTAACTTTAAATTTTCGTTATTTTACTCAAATAACGTGGCAAAAATATATAATTTATTTTAGGAAGAAGTTTAAAATCAAAATTTTGTTTTTGTTTACAAATTTCTTAAAATTTAAGAAAATGGCCGCCTTTAAGAAAATTAAACAAAAATCGAGCATATATTTGACATTCCAATCCATATAATTTCCATCTGAAAGACACCAGAATATGTTACTTACTGTAAATAATAAATTTAATACTTTAGCTTTCAATTAATAACAACATATTTAAACAAAACTTTGTTTTTGTTGATTTATGAGTCTTTTTTCATCGTGATATGCTGCTTTTTTATGTGACCTAATGGAGGAACCTACATTAGCCATGGAAGTTCCTAATTCTGTAGAAGGTGGGGAGAGGAGTTTAATACAAATGGAATTGCCAAACATCAGGAGTCTACCTCTTTCTGCTTTTCTGTCTGATTATCAGAAGTTTTAACAGAAAGATTCAGTCACTGATATGCTGCAATGGTTGACATCCAAAACTTAAATAGTTTAATAATTTCTCTCCTAACTGACTTGTATACTCAAGCAGAGGTAAAAAAAAAAAAAAAAGCTGTTACACCTCTTGGCAACTTTGATAGGGGTCACCCTTCCTTCATTAATAGAATAAGGCATTAACAATAGCATAAGATTAATCTTTAATCATGAGGAATATGCATTTTCAAGTAATGCTTTTTTTTTCTTGTCATATGAAAGTGAAGCCACCATAATGCCTGTCATTATTCTGTTTGTGCTGGCCATTCAATAATATATGAATTTCTATGTAAAAAGAAGTTAAAAAAATTGCCATTGAAATAATTTTGTGCTTTTTTGTGGTCATTACCACAGTAAAAGAACTTCATTCCATTTGATACATGTGCAAAAATTGAAAAATGACCTGTGCCGAATACAATTTCTTGCCTTTTGTCTTTATTGTTAATATATTTTTTCTTTAAAGTTAATATATTTTTCTTGATATAATGAATGACAGATTTGATATTCTCTTTGTAGAAATGGCAAGATGACAATGATCGTATCAGGGAAAAACTGCTGAGTTTAATTGGAAAGATCGGCAAAGATGCACGTGTTCCAAAAACTACAACAAGGGTGAGTAAGTGTGTATTCAATAAACAGAAAAACTTTGGGAATTTTATAATAAAATCTCTAAGGAGAAGAGTGTATCCTGAAGTTTTTTTTCAAGTTTCTTACATTGGACATTTTTAATCATTTTGAATATTGGTCAAGTAAACACAATTGCAATGTCACTCATGTTGAATAATGAATGCTACCAAGACTGAACTCTGGAACTCAAGTTAACAAAAATATGTGTAATAATCTTCTAATAAGCTGACTCACCCACTAATTAAAATGAATCTTTCCCGGTTAATAAAACAAAGCCCCTGATATTCATCTAGCTTGAGAGGATTTGGTGAATCTATGTTAATAAACCTTAGCATTCCATGATTCATGTTTGGAAGTATGATTTCTCAGAAATCAAATATTCCTCATTATGTTTTGGTCGCAATACACAAAATATAAATTTGAAAGATTCTTGATTTTATGTAAAAATAATTTGAAAATGTTTAAAATAATTGAACTTTATTTCATAAGTACAAAAATTAAAATTTAATTTCAATAAATTCAGAATTGTTTATTGGGTGTTGTTTTTAGACTTCATAACTTATTCATTTTGTACAATTCTGAATTTGACATTGGCTGAGGAAAGACTAAAAATGATTCCCATACTCATGTGCACACACACACCACAAAAGTTTTAAGATGCAAATGACTTTGTCACTGGTAATTTTGTTTCAGGAGGTGACACCATAAAAAAAAAAGTTGCCAAAATCTTAGACAAATATTTCAGTTTTTTTTTTTTTTGTTTTTTTTTCTTGAGTTTTCTCCTCCACTATATTCAATTTCACTCATCCCAATGATGATGGATAGGTATATGCATTTCAGGTGCTTGAACTGCTTTGGGATTTGTCCCATTTACCTGCTCTGTCAACACATTTGATTGAACAAGCTCTAAATGAACATCTCTTAATACTCAGTGATTCCTATATTGTCAAAGAGCAAGTCAAAAGACAATATGTTATGAAGTGTGTGGAAGACATTAAAAAGGTGAGAAACCAGTTAATTAGTTTTTTTTTCTATAATTTTCATTTCTTTAACTGTCTAAAAAAAAAACAGATAAAATGTTTAACTTTGAAATTACTTGAAATAATTCTGTGTAAATATTTAATGCAACTTGAAAGATTTTCCTTCTGAGCCATGCTTATTATTTTGTCTGGAAAAGCTGATTCTTTTAAAGAAAAGAACATTCACTATGGAAAAATGAAGCATAAGACAGTAATTTGAAACCCATTTCTAGAAAATATTGGGGAAATGTTTGTTGTTACATGGTCAATGACAATTATTTTCTGAATAGAACCATTTTCATTATTCCATATATTATTCAGAATGTTGTCTTCATCTTTGTTTCAATGCTATTTTTGGCCAATGCATTCATTTTCTTTTCATGAAGAAAAGAAAAAAAGTTTGAATCAGGTTCTAAAGATTGAATGCAACATCAATATAAAAAAGAGTAAAGAATAAATTTGCAAAAATGCTGTTAAAAACAACAAAGATAATTAACTAATGCATTTAATTTAATCTTCAGTCATCTTCCTATTTCCTGTAAGTTCAAAGGTCAATTTCATTATTGGTACAATCTGCATTTTCTGTAAATCCAAAAATGTTTAATCAAATGTCAAAATAATCTTTTGAAGTAAATTGATTTGTTCCAATGTGAAACATATTTTGTTTAATTGATTTGTTTCTTGCTTCAGGGAGCTTGGGTTTTACCTGCATTAAAACAACTGTTACATCTCTGCAGAAATATTTCTAAACAGAGTTTCAATAAATCAGACAAGGTTTGTTGATCTTTTTAGACTTCCATATTTTCCCAAATATCTTGAAAGCATTTCTTATTCCTCTCCAGAAAATGTTCTTAATGTTGGCATTGATAATTTTTTATTAATTTTAATCATTGATTGATTGATTGATCTGATCAGTAGTTTTACTTCAAATCAATATTTGCTGATCTAAGAAATATAAAAAAAAAATCATCAGAATCTTTTTAATAAGAATACATAGTTTTTTTAACTTGAATATTTTTCATCATTCACTAATATAAAACAGTGGAAGCAAATGAGAATGTAATAATGAAAAATATCAAATTAGTTGAGAATTAAACTGTTTACTTATAAAATTTACATTTTCTAGCATGATATTTTTCAATTACATTCAGTGATATTTCAAATTTATTATCCCATTTTTTAATGTTTTATGCAAGGTGATAATTTAAGTTGAATGATTTACTATGAAATCTTGAACCAGAAATCAAAATCCTGTTTAATTTTATTATTTAGACTAACAATTGCATTTTTATTATTATAATTGCTATATTTGGCTGTTGAAGTTTCATTTTAGTCTTGATAAAATCTAATTTGTTTTTCAAGAAAATTGGCCAATTTGGTTTTTTGGAAATTTTAATTCAAGTTTTCTAAAAATTCCAATTTCTTTTTCCAATTTTTCCCAAATATTAACTAGATTGATTTTTATGTTTTTAATTTGTCTTCTTGAAATGTTTTCTTTTGATTTAAATTTCTGTTTTCAATCATTTTTCAGGGAATTTTATATGAATTAAATAAAAATCAGGATGTTGTCAAACTGGTAACTGGTAGTTTAATGAAGTGTCACAAAATGGCTGCTAGCGTTGATGGTATATTGTCTCCGTTCACTATAGTTGATGGTCGATACACTCATTCAGAGGTAAGAGAATCCAATATTCATTTTCCCATTCTGAGATTGTTCTATTCTGGAATGGTTTTTCTTTACTTTTTTCTTGCTACTATGAGCCAATCTCATTCAAAAACCTTTGAACATTTGTTATGAAAAAAAATTTATATTTTGTACTTATATTCTAACATGCTTTTTGCTTTTTCTAACATGACATTTTATTTTGATTTTTTTTTTTTTTGACAATTTTGACCTTTTTCAAAGAGACTGAGGATAAACTTGAGCCCAATCTCTCTCTCTCTCTTTTCTTGCACTGGGTAACCCTTGAGGATTATAAACTGTGAACACAATTTTAATTTTTCAATTCATTAAGAAAACATCTTCCTTTCAATAACAAACAAATAATTTTGTCATTTTTGAACAGTTAATTTCTAAATTAAATAAAATGCTAATAAAAATTTTCTTTTCATAAAATTTATTTTAAAGTAAGCAAATATTTCAAATAATATTTCAACTCTAGCTTAATTTTGATTATTTGAAAGAGAAAGGGAAACAACTACTCTGAGATATTTTTGAGTCCTCTGTACATTTATATCTATTCTCGTTGTCACTTCCTCTTCTAACTTTCTCCTTCACAATTTAGAAGCCACAACATTGCTTCAGTGATCTATTGGATAAAAAAAATAAAAATATTATTTGAAATCTTTTTCACAGCATTTTTATACAGTGTACTTATAGCCATATAAAGAAAAACAAAAGATGTTGAAAAGAAAAAAAAATCTATATATTTCTAAAAAAAATCCCACATGTTCAGCTTAGAAAGACATTAATTAAAACTGCCTTCAACCTCAAGGACTGTCTTCATGTGGCATTGGAAACAACTGCATGTACAGATTAGTTGTTTCTGGTTCATGTTGGCTAGTTTCAGTGAGTCCTTGGTATTGTGGAACTGCTGCTGGTTGGTCTTCTTCTTGGCTATATAATGGATATAGTATTTATATTTCCAGCTACGTGGGAGGGAGCGGAATTCTACTGGAATACATATAGCCAATCCAAGACTTAACAACTGTCTCCCACACATGGGTACATTGAATCTGATTGATGACTTGTGGAAAGTAGGGTGGTATGACTTTGTTGTTCATGACACCCCATCAGAGACAATATAAATTTGGTATGCATCACAGTGGGTACCTGTGTATGGTTAGCATGGAAATACCTGTCATTCCTCTACTGGTCCTGGTGAAAGTTTTTCTCATTGGAAAAGAAGCAGGGCATACAAGGCTCTTCAGAATGCTTGAACTTGTTAAGTAAGTACCTTGTTCACATCCTCCAGTTCTCTTTGGTCTTGTTGGACATTAAGTGCCTTCTCCTCATCACTTGATGTCATTGTTCATCACATTTCTGATATTGGACTCTACCATCTTGAGGTTGATGATGGCGGCCTGGACCAAAATTGTTTTGGTTAACCGTGCCACGAACACGTCTTTCCATTTCCTTTGTCAGATTGGAAGCTCTCTCAATATGTCTGAAAGGGAAATGAGAATATTAAAATTTGGAACATGTTGTGTAACATTACATTAGGTCAGAACCTATTTATGATCCACTGAAGATGTTTTCTCAAATACCTGAGGAACTTGGTAAATTTTATTACTTCGTTATCCTTATTTCATGTTCTTTCATTTAAACACCATCATCCCATAACTCTCACACATTGGCTGCTTTTGATTCATTATTGGTTTAATTCTTTAAAACATTTTTTTCTCTCTTTTTACAAGAATCTATTTGCATATATTGGAAACATTTATTCCTCTTTCTGATGATGTGTAATTTTAATTGTTGCTTTATTTTCTTTGCAGTATGTATCAACACATTTAAACTTTCTGCAGTATATTCTACAAGTTGGAATCCAATGTTTGACTTGGAATCGTGCTCGAGAAATTTGGAGCACATTAGTTGCAAATCAGGAAGCTTGTAATTGGGATAAAGAGGTATTGTTTCCATTTATGGAAATGTTTGTTTTCATGCTGTTTTGTTCTAAATCAGAAAATAAACACAAGAATAAATTTTTTTTTTAAATTATATAAAAAAAAAAAAAAAACTCCCATTTTAGATTTATCCATCTGTTTGACTTTAAGTTATCTCAGTTCAGAACAAAGTAGCTTTTCATGTGTTATTGTGAAAAGGTGAACATACTTGTAGGAGAAATGTTAGAAATGATAAAATTCCTTCATGTCAGAAATTCAAAGAACTTTAGTAGTTGCTGTTTTTTTGTACCTACAGATAGAAGCTAAGCAACACAGAAGTAATTTGTTTGCTTGATATTTGAATTCTTTTGAAAATGAATAAGCAATTTCTGATTTAGGCCTTGAAAAAGATTTCTTGTCTTCCTTTGTAGACTTGTTATGAATGGTTCAGTAAAGGCATTGGTGATTTAGAGGCAGAAGCTGTAAGTCAACTCTTCCAGAAAGAACTTTTAAAATTAGATCCTTCAACGTTGAGTGAAAAAGGTAAAATGAAAATGGTCTTTATTCTCTGTTGATTATCTGGGCAAAGTTTGGTGGCTTGAAGTGGTTAAAGAAAGAAACAATCAGGGCAGAAAAATTGGGAAAAAGATATTAAATAAATTTAATGTTGAAAGAAAATTGGTGAGGAAGAATTTATAAAGTCTCAATAAATGGAAAATAAAGTAATTGTTGAAAAATGCTTAAAAATAATTCCAAATGATTTTAACAAAAGTCAAAGAAAAATTGCTTTTTAGAAATTATACAAACTATCAAAGAAAAAAGTGTTTTATTTTATTTTTAGTTTTAAACTTGAGATAAATTATTTTTTCTTAAACAAAAAAGTTATTTAACATTAGTTGATTTACAGTAATATGACTGAAATTGATATCTATATTAATGAAAAATATTTTATATTGGACATAACTTAAAAGAAAAAAGGTAGGTGCAGGGAATGATTTTCATTCAGCATTGCCAGATTATACTAGCCATTATCATTGCTTTTATAATTCAAGGGGAGTAACTATTATTTTCCTTTTGTTTTCAAAATTGCAGCTAGCTAAAATTTTAAGCTGTGGAGGACATTTGGTTTGGCCACCATCGCAAAAGCTATGGAAGAGTAGATGTGAAAGGCATCAATAAACTACAGAATAACTCAAAATTGATCATTGCATTTAAGTATTGAATTAATGTTTAAGTTTACCTTTTAAAAGTTCAACGATAATTCTTCTGCTGCCACTTAATTTAAAGATGGTCTGATGTATGTAGATCATTATTTTCCATACAAACAATTATTTTTATGACAGAATCGGGACAATTTATAAAATAAATATAGTGTAAAGATAGGAAAATAGAAATTAGAATTAGTTGTACATTCAACATTTGAAGAGTTAGAGAAACATAATAGCTAATTAAGTAAAACCTACAGTTGCAGCCAAAATGTTCAGAACAGCATTGTTTTTGTCAGAAAAGTAGGTATAAGTTTTTATCAAAGTGGTTTTATATTCTATAATTTTCACAGACAATAAATACAATATTAATTGTTATTGTCTGAGATTTTGGTGTAATTTAGGAGGATACTACAACACAGCTGTTTGAGGTTTCCTATAGCCCCACTGAACTTAAATAAAGTCAATTCAGGTTTCCTATGGTAAAAATTTTCTTTCCCAAGTGAAAATCATCACAAAAATGGCAAGTCATTTTGTCACAGCTTATTTTCTCTCAAAAAATGGATTTTCATACTTTTATAGGGGTAAAATATTGAAAAATGACTGTTTTATCATCACCTAAACTAATATCAAGGAAACTTTTGATCTGAATCCCAGGAAACTAGGTATTTTCTATCATTTAAAAGTAAAATTAGCTGGTGTAAATGACTCAAAATTTTTTTCAGTAGGTAAAATGTGAAAAAATAGTGAAAATTTTGCATTTTTTTCTTGTTCTAAACAAATATTTCCCCCATTAAACCTTTTTTTTTTTCTTTATTTTTTTGAAAATCAGACAGCCTAAATCATAATCAAACTATTTCAGGCATAAAATTGAGAGTTTTGAAGGAAATCAACATTCCTAGGGGTTCAAAATGTGACAAAATCCATTGGTAATTCTCAATTATATGACTGCCAAGGGTTAAAAAAAAAATTGACACCTGGCCACGGAAATCTTTAGTAAAAGGCAAAAGATTTATCTGCAATTCCTAACCACCAGAAACCAAGTTTTTTTTTTCCAAAAAATAGCAGCGATAAGGAAAATTAAACCTAATTGTCTTTGACATCTAGGTCAAAGGTCAGCCAGCAATAAACGGTAAACCTTAGAACAAGTTGTAATAAAACCCACCACTCCCAGATAAAAGCAAAGAGTGAAAAAAAAAAAAGGGTTCAACATTACTAGGGCTTGATATAACCTATGTTTGAACAATGGCTTGATGAGTTTTGTTTTTAACACCCCGTGACCTGGGTGATGACAACAACACTTAGCAGACAACATTGTTGTTTTTTTTCGCTGCATATCTTTCGTATTTCCCATCGCCGGTCCATTTAGCAGTTCCTTTTATTCAATGATGTTCATGCCAAATTAAAGAGAAAGGAATGAATTTTGAATGATGTTATTTTGAAGCGAAAATAAATATTTTTTCATAAAAAAAAAAAGGGGGATTTTTCTCAGAAAATTGGGCATAATTTCTTAATGCTAACCGCCGAGTGGCATTTTCCACAGCCAAATCAAAGATTAATTACCAGTGAATAATTCCATGTGCAAACAATAGCCGTCTGGATCCTATAACGTCACCCTAAAAGGTCCAGAAGTTTACTAATTGATCGAAAACCTGTTGAGAATTTATTGTATTTTTCACGGTCAGTTTGCATTATTTCATCTTGATATTATCATTTTCGGACAGCCAAGTCATCAAGGATTCAGGAAAACAGTTTGGCATAGGTTTTCTTTAAGAACTTTACATTCTTTGAGGTGTTTAAAATGTTACTGACGAATGAGATTTTTTGCCAAATATTTCGTTTATGCGCCATGTTGGATTTTTCTATATGACAAAAACAAGGCTTTTAAACAGCCATGACAAATGTTATGGATGATTTAGTGAAAACAAAAACAATGCCGTTCTGAACATTTTGGCTGCAACTGTATATAATGCAAAATTGGAGCTCAAATCTCCCACGAATTCTGAGATTAAAAAGCCCCAGCTCTAATTTATAGTAATTTATTTACTCAACCACCCACAGGTTGTGACACAAGGTCAGTTTAATGTGGGGAGCCCGACTGCATACACCCAGACAGGAACAAAAATTCCCCAAGACCCTGCAACCATCCATTGCACTGCCCTCAGTGCAAGCACCAATGAGATAGTGCAGCCTCAGGCAGCTGTTCCCAAGGGCTGGGCAAATCACAGTATAATTTTCCTCAGTTGCAACTTTGACAGAGGCACCCCTGAGTGCACTCTGTCCAAGATGAGAGATGATAAATAATGTGTTACAAATCACTCGGAGATTTACATGAGTCGGGTTGTAATGTGGGGACCTGAGTGTCTTCACTCAGGCTGCTGGTCATAGCTTATCAGAGCTGGTCCAAGGTAGTCATAGTTGGGATAGCACAGGAACGGATCCCTGTGCCCAGTAAGTATCAGAGTGTGTAAACCACTCAAGAGAGTGCTTTACATACTAAAAGCTCAATATCTGTATTATATATTATCTACTTCTAGGCAATATCACTGTCAGGTTGCATATTGATTTTAAAAAAGTTTATTTCATTAATTAACTGTCTTTCATTACTGTTCTTTTATCCGAGGATTGTTTTGATTTTCATGTGAAAAAAATAGTTCTGTTTAGGAATATTGTCTTATATAGTGCAAAAAAGTGTTTGAAATTTGCATTTTACATGGCCTTCAATAAGTTGGCATCTATTTGTAAAACTTTCCTTAACTATAGCAAGCCAATTTATGAATGAAATGCTCATTTAAAATTTTTGTTTCAAAGATTTCAAGTAGTGAATATAGCAATATAGAGTGGGTGAAAAACTTATAAATGTTGATGACAGTATTCTCAGATATGTTTCTTATTTTTAGGATTTGCTTGCGTAAAGAATTTCTTTGAAACTGCAAATTTATATGAACATAAACTAAAAAGATCCCAGTCTGGTCCAATGTGGGTAAGTTTCATACATTTTTTTTCACCATCTCTTAACCAAAATCCTAAAAACCTTCCTATTTAAAATCTATCAGAAAATTAATCACTTAATTTTATTTATGTGGGGGATTCACTCACATCATAGCAGCAGAAATTAGCCTCATGTTCCAGGAGATAAAAGCATACTTGACAGAAAATAAAACTTACACAAATAACAGGAAAAGCATGGTAAATTGTATGTTACTTTCATGCAATTTATTTATATTTTGTGTTTATTGGTGTGTGTATTTTTTTAGGTTATAATTGTTTTATGGTATATTTGATAAAAGGAAGAAATTTACTCCATAGTATTATGAGCCATATCACAAAGAAGTTGGACACATGTTGCCCGTACCAAGGTTTGTGGTGAAAAGATTATTTTTAACATCTTTTGGTGGGATGTCCATATTTCCAACAGGAACAGTTTTTGCTGCATGCTGGGAGTATTATTATTTTTAATTTTTATTTAATTTATTTTATACAATGTTTTTATGTTATTGATTTAATTTAATTTATAATTTTCATTATTATTTTTTTTTTTTATATATTATTTAAACTAATAATAATATTCCTACACCATCTCATGTATTCATGATTTGCTTTTACTCTTCATTTGCCAATTTATTTTTATAGAAATTAAACTGTAATATTATTAATAAATATTTATTATCCTACTTGGTATGAATATTTATGATTCACTGTTGAAAATGTGTGTTTAACTCTACTCCTAATTAATAAGCACACACAGTGGCTATAAAACTTGGCCTCTTGAAAAGATGGGGTTTACTGTTAGTGAGTTCTCAGATATACAAGTATCTATACTATCTTTTAAAAATATGAAACCTTTCAAATTCCAAAAAACACATGGCCCTCAAGAATTTGGGATAAGAGATTGTCTACTCCAATGTAAAGTCTGAGGGTGTCCATGTGTATATCCACATGCACACACATGGCAAAGACCAAATAGTTTTCTTTACTAATTTTATTCCATTTTTTTTTTTTTTTTTTTAAACTTTTTGATGTCCCCTCTTCAAATTAGATCCTCTTTTTTCTCAAGTCATTTTTGTGTAACTATCTATTTTGCATCCAGTTTGTCAGTATTTGTTAAGCTTAACTTTGTTTGGCACAAAGTATGGAGCTCCCAGTGAGAATCAAACTCCCTCCAGAGTAATTATAGTGTGTTTGACCTGTTCATTCACCATTACCTATGCCAAGGCAGCTTTGCATCCAATATGTATCTAATTTCAAATATTTCTACCTTTAGATTGTTGAAAAGCCTGACCTTTGTGGATTGGAGTTTCTTTGGGAAACCTGCTTGAATACACCAGATGAAACAATTGCTGAAGCTGCTATTGACTTACTTTTAGACATGTCGTATTCAAATCTGACGCCAAAAATGAAAAAGGTAAACATTTTTCCTTTCAAATTTCATTTTTTTCTGCTTTTTTTCTTGTCTTTTTTTACAATTTTTATTTTGAATTTTTCTTGATTTTTGTTTTCTCAGGATCCTGTCAATCTTCACAAAAAATTCATTACTGAATGCTACAACAGATTAGAGGTAAGCTATGTTGTTTCTTATATTTACTGAAAGGAAAAGTGAAAAGGTGGGAAAGAAAAATTTTCTTTACTCTTCCAAGTGGAGGAACCTTGCCTAACTTGAAAAATTAACATTGAAAATTCCAGCTTTTATCCAGGATTGAACACTGACCATTGATGTTTATAGAAAGTACTCGACAATATTGACCACCAAATAGATTCATTATCTTACATTTGCCTCGCAATTTTTATTGATGATTTAAAGAGAGCTACAGCCCTGAAATCTGAATTTTCTTACCTAGAGAGTGTCCAAATAACATAAAAGGAAATATGAAAATTGGATTTGGTTGTGGGCAATTCTTTCACTTAGAATCAACCAAGACTCTATTGAAGAAACCTTGTCTGACTTGTCCAGTTTGATGCATGCAATAGTCGCTGGTGGTTTGGATAAC